CCATTCACGTACATTTCAAGATCAAAAATATAAGTGATTTGGGGGAGAATGCAGCTGTTTGATCAGAATTGCTTCATATTCACTTTTCATCTGTACCCATTTCACATTTCATCCGCAGCCACTTAACTTTTCAGTAAACATTTAGGAAAGACATAAAATATCCAGCCAAATAATAAGATTTATCATTAAGTTAGCCAAATTGAACTAAGAAGTAGGTTGGTTTGAAGTCGGATCCTTTTCTTTTCTTTTCTTCGTATTTTAATCAATTAGTTTAAGGCATGGTGTCCTGCTCCAACGATGCACGCCGTATGACGGCGATGCGCCGAGACCTATTAGCACATTTCTATATTCACAACTCCCTTTATCTTCCGGTGCTGAAAATAACGAATACGATGGCGGATGATACATGACTAGGTATATCCCACAAGGTCTGCTTGATGCTTCAACCAAGTTGCGAAGATAATGTCAAATCGACACTATAAAAATAAGGGAGACTGTGATCAAACAGAAGTTAATTTTATCTTGATCTACTAAGGAATTCTCCAAAACCCAGTTTTATACATAACTTCAGTCTATTTTTCCTTCATGACTGGTTATACTAGATTGGATAGTAAAAGGTCAGGAGAAAGCTGATACAGCTGATATTTAAGACTGCTCATTTATCTGTTTTGTTTTTCTTTTTACCTTTTGCATAGGCAAACTTCACTAGGTTTCATGATCAACCTCGTTATGCTCATCTGATACTGCCCTTTGGAGTAAACGAATCTCACACAACTTAAAATAAATAACATAATGGGGTGAAAATCACAATCAAATTTAAGTCAAATTTTATATTTAGATAAGGCTGACGTCACTTCGTCAGTTAAGAAAATAAGCACATAAAAGTTAATTTAAAAAAATTACTATGCTGCTGCACTTAAGTATTTTAAAATGTCTGGTTATTTCCCTAATCCATGTCTGGTCTTTCTATCTATGCTACATCTTAACATCATATAATCTTTTCTTTACTTGCCCTCATCATATCGCCTTGCATTAAAATATTTCCCTAAGTGGCCTGTTTACCTTTTGGCCAATTTGCCTACTTCCACCGCCATACTTCCCTCCAACTCTTCTTCCGTCATCGGGCCTCCTGGTGTATCTAATATTTCTTTTGGGAATGTCAACGAGTTTTCTGAGCCCGAACCTCTTGCCTGGTCTGGCGAGCCAGTCATTGTCAATCTGACTGATCCATCCACCCCATCAGGTGGCTTTGTCTACTCCGATCAGACCGGACATACCTGGCCTCCCTCAAGACATTCCGTAGATCTCTCATCTGGTGCCGGTTTACCTGCTGATGAGGGGCTTGCCAATTATGCTTGTTCATGTCCCTTTATCCGTCCTATCGAAGTATTCGTCCTTGTTAATGATTTCGTTTGTTTCCCTCTTCGATTCTTAGTATCTTCTGCGCACATTTAATGTTACCATAGTTTTGTTTATTCCTTTATATATTTTTTCCGTATAGGAATATTTTATTAGATTATAGATTTGATTCTGTTGAATTAGCTTAGCCATGTTAGAGAAAATTTTGTCTGTTTATTCGATTACTTTAATGAAAATACCTCTTACTTCTTACATTAAGAAGTACTTTCCTCAGTCACCTTCAAATCGCGATGAAATTGTAGAAACTAGTTCACTACAAGTCCACAAAACCAATTTTTAATACTAAGTTAATTACGTATTAACTTGTTTTTTATACTAACGACCAATCACATTTGTTGTTTTATTGTTTTCAACATTTTCCCTTAAGTTCCTCTTTCCAAGCTTGCAATTCTTATCCTTCTTTCACTTCACAAATTTTGGTTTCCCCAGGATTCCGGCCTTGTTTCTTTGGAGTGCATTACGGAATACCGACGTAGGTCTTTAGATGAAGCAAATGAAATGATTCATCGAATACTTTTGAACGTAAGCTTTACAATCCTTTTTTTCCTTTTATAGAATAAACTTGAAGTTGGAAAATCAAACTTACAACTGCCCATAACTTAGAGTCGCGTGAACCGAAAGCTCATATTCATTATTTCGGAGGCCATTTTCATCTTTGACTTGTAGTTTATATCATTGCTATATATTGAACCCATTTAATTCGTTGTTTCCATGCTTTTACAATTTGTTTACATGCATTAG